ACCGCCAAGACCCAGAAATATCGGTTATAGGCTAAGTCAAGGTATCGTCAACGAGTCACATGCCAAGATTAAAGAATAATCAGTCTTGGACGATTGTTAAAAATATTACATTGCTTTATTTGTAATTTTTAATATTACTAAATATTAAAACTAGATTTATCGGCAAAATTTGAAGTTGGAACCCTATACGAATAAATATCTTCCACTAATTTCCATCTCATTTGAAAGCAATCTAGCTCGATACTCAATAAACAAACTAGTACTACGTATTGCCTCGTAGAAGGCTGGCCTGTACCGGCCCCCACAGGCTTTGTAGCCATCGACGGGGCCTTTGTGGCGAGACGGCGAGCTGGACCGCTGCAGAGTGCGAAAACAACAGAGCGAGGGAGCGCACTGGGGCTGAGGCGCCAGCTGACGAGTGTGTATCGACCGCCACAATCGTTCGTTCTGTTGCCGCCGTTCGCTTCTCTTCCGACTTCACGAATCCACAAAGCCCTAGCCCTGGTGAGTTGTTCTGACAGCAAACCATCGAACCTAGCCACAGTTTATCCCCAGATGGCCATGGAGGAGTGGGACGCAAGATCGAAGGTAACGCTCATCCATTGCTACCGCGATGAACCCAATATATGGAATCAAAGTGTCGTCTATCGATCCGATGCGGAGAGACGGCACAGTTTTGCCGAAGCCTGGCAAAGGATCGAGCAACGGATGAATGCGATGGGCTACAATTTTGAGTGTGAGTTATCCTGGATATAAAAATCCAAAAATATGAAGTCTCTTTCCCTCTCATCTTGTATGAAATCATCAAAGCTTCTTCATCCATATCAAACTCAATAGTTTCCCATTTTTCTGAAATTGCAAAAAAATTTCTCTTTAAAAATCTGCTTGGAATCGTTCCTCCTATGGTTTTCAAACAATAAACGCCGTAAAATTCGGCAAATTCTATTCTCATCCTGAAAATCTCAGATTACTCTGGGCTGACCCAACATCCACCCTATTAATTGTAATGTTTGCAAAACTTTTATTATATACATGTAAGAAATGAAAATTATATAGATATTAGAAAACACTAAGATTCATAGGTCTTCGCTGTTTCTGTCTTAAAATGCCTAAGCTTTTGCTATCTTTTGATCTCATCAAAATCCAGTATTTCGCTGTTTGTTAAAAAATTGTAGTTTTTTTCAAAGTTTCATGCAAAAAATATTAACTCTTGAAGAGGGTGTTGTTGTACTAAAGCTTGCTTTTATTTCCTGAATAATCGTATTTTCTAGATGACCTTTTTGCTTTAGTTAGCAAAATTTTGCAAATTTGTTCTCTTAGATGTATCATATGAGAAAGACTTCTTAAGGATATAAAGTCATGAAGTTGAAAGAAGCATTTACAGAAGTTAATCCACGCTAAGAAAATCATAGTCAGCTTTGTTCCGTACCAGAAATCAAAAACGTAAAGACTCGCAAGCAGATATTGAAAGGGCACTTTTTCTCTCAGTGCTGCCACTTTTGCAAAGGCAAGAAAACGTGACACCAGACAACAATCTACACATACACGACGAAAAACTAAATCGTGCAAAAAAATCTGCAAAATACTCCATATAGTCAATGTTGGCTGCGTGGAATTTTTATAATTTTTATTAACGACACATTAGGTTATCCGGAGAGCCTTGCAAGATTTCCAAAATCTCGTTTGCTGGAATAACTTTTCATATTTTGGCCTAATATGGTAACCTCACGCCCCTAATAGGACATATCGCAGATATTTCTAGGGCGCTAGTCTGGCAGCAACCTAAATTTTAGTTTTGAGTGGCCAACTTGGAAAAATGTTTTCCGCTAGATGAGGCGCAGTTATCGAACCCAATAACCTTAGCGTAGGCCAACATGCAACCGGTTCGGAGAATATTGAAGCACCTTCTGCAGCCACGGAAGTGCTTGAAAGCATTCAGTTTTGCCCCAAAACATCAAGTCCAACTGAACCATTACCCGCTAGCACAGAAATAACTTTAAATTCCATATCTCTACATTTAATGTAGTTAAAGCGAAAATAGACTGTGGATCAAATATTGAGGGTCCACAAAGGCAAAATTCCGCTACAACAGTATGATTTGTTATAGTAGCTCGGCAATTTATAGAACGGAATTGACAGCACCTGCCCTTGTAGCCAGAAATTCCTATCTATAGCGCTGCTGCGGTGCTAGACTTATAAGCTGGAGCAACACTCATAAATCTTCAGCATACGGTTTTACCGCATTCAACAAAGTGAAACCAGTAGAATTTGGGAAAAATCTTGCAGGATTTTTCAGACTTTCTAATAACTGGGGTACTATTCATCGTTTTATTTAATCATTGATCATCTCTTACAGCATACAATAACGTGAAACTGTAAGAATTTGAGAAAATCTTGCGATTTCAGAAACCAATAATTGCTGTATTTATTCATCGCTATCATGGAATCTTGATCATCTGTTACTTTGGAATCTCCTTGCAAACCTTCTAGAAGCTCATTTATAGAAGTCTCTATCACTCTTCTACATATATGTACTTTGAATAAAATTTAATGACTTCTGAGAATGATGAGCTGCTAGGTCAGTAGCTTATTCACTAGAACTTCTGGAATGTTAACAATCGTTTTTTTTTT